ATAGGCTTCAGGTATATATCCTGTTGTACTATGCTAATGAGGGCCTACACTGTTGAAATGGGCCCACACAGGTCTAGGCAGGGTGAAAGGCATTCAAAGTTTGTGGACCCCTTATGCCTGTGCCTAGGCAAGGGGTCTATGCCTGCCCTGAGGTCCCAGCTTAGGGGAGCTGGCAGATTATTTTTTCCTGTTTGTTATTTGTTTGTTAATTTGTTCCCTCTCCAAAACCGGGACAATGGCTCAGGGTGTGCGATGGGTCCCACTTCCAGCCCAGCGACTGCGGCAATCACTGAAGCTGGACTGGGACCTGAGCAGAGCGGGGAGGGGGAGGGTGATGGGGAGAGAGGTACTTCCCAGAGGGGGGAGGGTTATTGATTCCACTTGATAGGTTAGACGCTTGCACTTAACTTTTTGCAGATCCAGCGCCACCTCTCCCTGGCTCTGGAGGCTTGTGCAGACTCTCCGCTGCTAGGTTTCTCCTGATGTGGAAAACGTGTCCTGAGGGCTACTGCTTGCCTCAGACTGCGCGTGCCAGCCTATCCAGCCTGCAGGGTGCCATCCATGTCAGGTCTGGCAAATCCTCACAGCTTCTGAACTGTCTCTCCCTCCCCCTGCCTCTCAGTCCAACTCCTCAGCTTTGTTTTTGATGTTGAGGGCTCCTAGACTGTCATATATAACCAATTCACTTGATTTTTCAGGTCTTTGTTTTAAGAGGGACCACAGGAAGTGTCTAACTACTCCCCCATCTTGGTCTCACCAGAAGATCTAATTTTTATGGAAAGGTTTCTATCTTATTGGAGATGGGATTAAGGAAGGAATCTGAGGGATTATTGCTACTATCCCAAATTGAACCTGGAGCATCAGTACTGTTAACTGAACAGGAACTCCTGTTCCCTCTGACCTAGTCACTGACTTTGGTGTTTCTTATGATGTTCTTCTAAGACCAGAAGACACTTTGCACTTGAAGTGAAACACCCAGGAAGCTAAAGCCAGTCTGAAGGCAAGCTGAGGTCAAGGACCCTGTCTCAGGATGGAGGAGGTCAGGGAGTGAATGGAGCAGACAGGAGAATCAGAATTGTGAAGAAGAGCCAATGGCAAGGGATCAGAAGGACCACAGGAGAAGCACATGACAAAGTATCGGGGGAGGTATGATTTACTCCCAATTTAACTCCAGTAAACCAAGTCTCAGCGAATGAGGAGGAGCTTTCTGAAGCACATTTCTACATTTAAAAGAAAAAAAAAATCTTTTTATTTTTGGAAATTTTCAAACACATACAAAGGTACAGGAAATAAGTATAATGAACCTCCAGGCACTCATCACCTAACAAATATCAACATTTTTATTTCATTGCTTCATCTTACCCCATCCCCGCTTGTTATGGATTGAATTATGTCCCCCCAAAAATGTGTGTATCAATTTGGCTGGGCCATGATTCTAGGTATTGTGTGATTTTCCTATATGTTTTAAATCCTGCCTCTATGATGTTAATGAGGGAGAATGGGTGGCAGTTATGTTAGAGAGGCAGGACTCAATCTACAAGATTGGACTGTATCTTGAGGCAATCTCTTGAAATATAAGAGAGAGAAGCGAGCAGAGAGAAAGGGGGACCTCATAGCACCAAGAAAGCAGTGCTGGAAGAAGAGCGCATCCTTTGGACCTGGGATCCCTGCACAGAGAAGCTCCTAGTCTGAGGGAAGATTGATGAGAAGGCCGACAGAGAGAGAAAGACTTCCCCTTGAGCTGACGCCCTGAATTTGGACTTTTAGCCTACTTTACTGTGAGGAAATAAACTTCTCTTTGTTAAAGCCATCCCCTCGTGGTATTTCTGTTATAGCCACACTAGATAACTAAGACACCCTTCCTCCACTTTTTTTTTTCCTGGAGTATTTTAAAGCAAACCTAGTCATCATATTATTTCACTCACAAATATAGACAAGAGCTTTTACATCTATTAAAAGTCATAATAATTTCTTGATATTATCTCAGACTGTGTTTAATTTTCTGCTATTATCTCACAAATATCTTTATAGTTGGTTTGCTCAAATCAGGATCTACACACGTTTCACATTTTGCATTTGGTTGATTTGTCTCTTACAGTCTTGAGTCTCTTTTAGTCTATAATAGTTATTTCCCTCTCCCTCCTCCCTTTTTTCATACCACTTATTTATTTATCGAAGAACTGGGACATCTGTTCTAGAAATTTCTGACATTCTGGATTTGTTATCCTGGTGTCATTAAATAAGCTTTTTTTTTTTTTAAATTCACTATATTTCCTGTAAACTGGTAGTCAGGTCTGAAAACTTGCTTTAAGAGTCACTGTGTTGGTGAGAATACTTGGTAGATGGTGCAGTGTGCTTCCTCTTGCATCACATCAGGAGGCACATGTCTGATTGTCTCATCTGTGGTGGTGTTAGATTGATGAGTAGGTTCAGGAATTTCAGTCTGATCCATTCATTAAAATTTCCCTATCAATCGCTAAAGGTTTTAGCAGTCATTATGACAATTACCTAGGCTCCTTATTTTATTCCTTGCAAAATGTAATTTTCTAAATGTCTCTTTTCTTCCTTAATGAAGAACTTTCTCTCATCAATTATTTGGTTTCTCTAAGAAACCAAATTTCTCAGGAAAGACTGCAGCTCATTTTAAAGGTGACATGGTGTATCTGATGCTCTTCCACGTGTGTCTTCGTTCTCCTTCCAGTTTCCCACTGCCGCCAGACCAAAGTTCATTCTAATATCTTTGTATCCCCAAGGCCTGATGCGCAGAAGCTGCTAATGAATGACAGACTTATATTGAATGTTCTCCTCTTATGTCCCTATGCCCCAATTTTAACTAGTCCTCAAGGCCCAACTGCCATCTCCTTTACCAGCCTTCCCTGGTTCTTCCACATGGGAGGCATCTTTTCCTCCTCTGAACGCCATTCATTCAGGAACATTTAATTGTGCCAGCCATGGATCTCTTTTAAAAGCTTCCTTGTACAAGTTATTTACCTATTTTATCTTCTTTTCTAGATTCCATAAATACAGGATTTATATCTCCATAGTGACTAGCATTGCTTTACATTTCATGGAAAGTCAATAATTATTTATTGAATGAAAAAACTAATGAATTAGAAAAGAGGAAACTTTTGCACCCTCACAGCTTTGGGCATTTATTTTCCTCTTAAAGTTCAATGGGCAAGTGTGGTGAAATGAGTTTCTTTATGTGGCCTTTTGCCTTGGTTGTTTGAAAAAACAGCTTGAGAGATATTTCCCATAAACCCTGAGGAGTTACTTTTTCTACTAGTTTTCTACCTCAGAGGATTTATTACTTTTGTTCAGGTTGATTGACATTTCCTGGATAACCTGTAAACAACTTGATGGTTTGATACTTTTTGTCTGGCCCTGGGCTGGAGCCTGCCCTGTGATTGGTATGTACCTTGCAGGGATTGGGCAATACACTATACAAATGAAGTGATTAAAGACTATGCAAATGACATGGCTATAGCCTACCATGCAAATGAAGTGACTGTGTCCTACTGAGAGGCGATTGGTCAGTTTGTGGCCCTGTTGCGAGGGACATGCCTTAAAATTGACAAGGAGTTTCCTTATATATGCAGCCAACCCCACAGAGGTGGCAGAAGGAAGAAGGAAGAAATCAGGAAAGGAGAAATGGCAAGACAGGCAAGAAGAAAGAAGAAGGAGAGGGGATGAGGAAGCTCCTAAAAGAGCTGTAAAACAGGTGAAGGGCTGTAACACCAAAGACAGTGAGAGGCCCAGAAAGGGCACGGCAGAGAGTCAGTGGTGACAGCAGAAACCTGCTAGGAACGCAGCTAAGAGAGCTGAACAAAACTGCTACACTGGCTATGAACTAGGTCAGTTAGCAGTGGAGAGGCCAATGGCAAGGTGGATGAAGGCAGAGAGACCTGTCTTAAGGGGGCTAAGAGAAGGCCCGTCCTGAGGGGGATGAAAGGGGGCATGCATAGCAGCGAGAAGGGCCTGCTTGCTTGCACAGCTAAGAGGAGCTGAGAGAGCTGTCCTGCACTGAAGAAGGGAGGGATATGCTCTCCACTTCAGGGGAGCCTTCCGGACTTTGCCTACTTGCTTCCTGATCCTGATCCTGAGTTGCAGCCTGTTGATCCTGATCCCAAGTTGTACCCTATTACTTCCTTAATAAACCACTTAACTGTAAGTGTGGTCTCTGAGTTCTATGTGGCCATTGCAATGGATTTATCGAACCCAGCAGGAAGTAGAAAGAGCCATGGAGAGGATGGCTGGTGTCAGAATTGGTAAAAAGTTTGGAGAGAGGAGGCATCTCTGACTTCTACCTCATAGGGGTCAGCTTTGGGTTGATCCTGGTTCTTATCAATAAGGAATCTAGACGAGTTCTGATACTACTCCTAGATTACAGCATGTAATGAATTTAGTATAGAACACTGCTTTTTGATCATTTAAAAATATGATAGACTTTACTACTTAACTGCTATAAAAAAATCAGTTATGTTATTTAGTCTCTTTTTCATTATGGTGAGATCCAACCAGATGGTTAAATTACTCTGTAACTAGTTCAATACCAAGATCATATTTTCATTTTCTTCTAATATATTTTTTGTTATATTCGCTTTTATCTTTAGATACCGTCTAAAGTAAATCATGAGTACTACTTCCCAAGGCACCCCTTAATCATGGTTGCTGTAAATAGACATTGCTATAAAAATGGTGGTAGCATATGCAACAATATAAATGTGCTTCATCAACTATGAAAAACAGCACATATTCGTTTACTTGTGTACTTTGAAAAAATAAATCTCAATAGTCTAATCATAAATCAGGTGGGATTATACCTAAAATGTCAAAACTGAAAATGCAAACTTCAATTTTGTACTTTTGTGGGCCACTAATACTGCTGGAATGCCATTGTGTGACCATTTTAATGAGCAAATTTTTTGAAGGTTGGTAATTTCTTCAACTTAATAAGATGGTATAGAAACAACAGCAAAGCAATTAAAAGTCTTTCTTACCAGGAAATCAAGCTCCTCATTTAGATTGTGGTACTTATCCAGTCTGGCTCCCAATAAGATAGGTACATCACTGACATTCTTGATTTCATCTGAATCAAAGTCTGTGACCTGAGATTAAATATATTTGTGCTCAGTTTTGGTGCTTTCATGCTCCTGGAGACATCTGACAATAAATACTTTATTAGTCTAAAAAAATCAAAGAGTTTGTCAGTGGCTAGAATCATAGAAGTGTAGAGCTTAGAGCTAGAAGAACAAATCACCTAGGCTCTGTCTCCAGGTAGGTAAGTCACTAGTAGCCTCATTTTACAAATAAGATTTACAGGTTACAGGCTTCCTAAAGGTTGTATACCTAGAGTCTCCAATTAGCCGAATAAGATCCTCATACATACTTAAAATTTGGAAGTTATCCATATGGATTTTATATTTATTTCTATAGCAGCAATATCCTGTATTTCAAGGTATCTAAAGGATCAAAATCACAAATTTTCTCCTGAATTAAAGCACCATAAGATACCAAAAAAAGACAAAGCTAATCCTAACGACAACACAAGAATTTAAAATTAAACAAATGAGGTTTACTTTATGTACGTTTTACCACCCTTAAGAATACAACTCCTTTAAAAGTAATAGATTATAAAGAGTAGGATTGTTCCCAGATCTTTCTCTAGGAAACAAAAAAAAGTGCAAATGCATGCCAAAGCATGATTTATATGTTCTATGACTAAATTATTTTCAAGACTTAGAAATTATTCTAAGACCTTTCTGTGAAACGTAAATAAGTCCTCTTTTACGATTCATATGAAAATAAGTAAAAACTGTCAATAAATAAAAAATGCAAACATAAAAACACATGTATATATTTTTATGCTTGCATTTTACCATATATATGTGTATTTACACATATATACACACATATATATTCACACACACATATATATAGGAGCCCTTGTGGTGCAGTGGTTAAGAGCTCGGCTGCTAACCAAAAAGTCAGCAGTTCAAATCCACCAGCCACTCCTTGGAAACCTTATGGGGCAGTTCTACTCTATCCTATAGGGTCACTCTGAGTCGGAATTGACTTGACGACAACAGGATATATATATACACATATTGATATGTATACATGGTTTGTAAACTTTAAAATTTTATATAATGATCAAAAGGTTTAATTACAACTGTGCTCTATGTATTCTCATGCCTGAGTTCCCATCCACTGACAGGTTTACATGTGATCATTTTGTACAATTAGGATACATTCAAGCCCATCGTTGAAAGAGTTTGCCAGGTCTTACCATCTGGAACAAGCGCATGGTTCAGATGATCCCAAACAATAACCATTCATCTTTCATTTAAACCTTTATGTCAAGTTTCCATGTTTCAATCTGCAATTCAGTTCTAAACTCATCCAACCATTACATAAACATTTTAAAAAATTAAGAACTGAAGTGAGACTGTAAAATGAAAACATATACAAAGACTGAAAGACTATCATCCAGTTGTGTTTCAGTCATCCAAAACCATGTCACATTCCAAATAACAAGACCCAGCTGAACTACATGATTCAGAAACAGGCACACGCATACCTTCTTTGTACAATTCACTCTGCTTAACAGTGTAACCAGGAGGAGGTGGTTTATACACGGCTGTTGTTGTTGCTGGGTTTGTAGGTCAGGGCCAGAAAATAGAGGGCTGTCTTATCCTCTAGTGATAAGTTTTGTTACAAAGTTGTCTGAATTTTCATTTCCCTTATTTTTGTTACAACTGTCAACCAGAAGCTTGGAGGGAATAGTCTATCTACAGTCAAGATTAGGGGTATAATTACTCCTTTTTCCTGAAGAATGCCACTGAAATTTAATTGCTTGGTGATTATATTTTGTTGTTAATGGGTTATTGGTTTTATAACTATTTTCTAGGACGAAGTTTCACAAATAGGGTCTTGAACGGGGCAGTCTGGGAAGCTCATCCCAACATCACTTCAGTATCAGATAATTTAAACCACTTTCCAAACGATAGGGTGGCTCTTTTTTATCTAGGTCATTTGCAGCATACATAATCCCAGCTGACAACGATGGTCCCACTTAGAGTGATAGTCTCACTTAGATAAGTTTAATCAGTGGAAACCTCTGATCAAAATCTGGATTTGCCAATGGAATATCTGTAAACCTTTATTCATTTGCCTCCTCCTGTACCCTTCGGGGTCACTCCGTGTTCAGTGTATACTGAATATATATTTGACTGCCAAACGACTATGATGCTAAAAAAGAAACTGTTATAGTTCCAATAGCCATACAGATACAAAAATCTCTTCTCTCTTTCTTTTTTTCCCCCACAATGATAAGAAGGATTCCCAATATCATTTAATAAGAAAACAGAACTGTTGCCAACTCTGAAACCTGGAAGAAGGAGAGGAAAGATTGGAGTCGTAAGAACTTTAATAAACTTTTCTGTTGCTAGTGATAAAGAAATCAAGGAACTAATAGTTAAAGATAACTGGCAAGCAATTTTCTCTACAAAACTTATCAGTGGCCCTCAATTCTGCCCCATGAGAATCAATCATGAAACTATGATTATTTCATAAAACAACCAGGATTTGAAAAACCTATGTATTTATCAGTTATGTGTTTAAATGAATTCATAACAAAATTAAAAGTTCACATCCTCCTGACAAAGAGCAAGAAAGTGTCTTTACATTAAGGATAGTATGTAGTAAATGTTAAACTCACCTCAGTAACCTGATCTTGAAATGCTTTTTCATTAGCAATTAACTCTCTAACGGTTGTGATTCTGGCTTTATGTTTCAGTAGCTAAGAAAAAAAAATTCTGTATTTCAGAGGAGAGGAAAAAACTACATTCTATAAAATTTATAATAAAATTATCAAACCATGCATAGTCCTGGTCTTCAAAAGATACACTTTTTTCTAGCCCTTGTGCAGAAGACAAGGCCTAAGACTGTCTGTCGTCCAGGCCTGCTAGCAAGATTGCCCCTTGGCTAGTATCTGGAAACTTGGATTTCAGGAGGATTCCCACCATTCCCTGATAAGAATGACTCATTGTGGCTAAAATGTTTGTGCACATAATATGGTTTCTGCTGAACACCTGCCTTCTTTCTGCGAGTCCAGAATTTTGGTACGTGCCAACCGCCGTGTGACTATGTGAACAGCCCCCAATAAAAACCCTGGGCACTGAGTCTCTAATGAGCTTCCCTGATAGACAACATTTCATACGTTGTCAGGACTTGTTGCTGGGGGAATTAAGTGTATCTTGTGCGACTTCACTGGGAGAGGACTCTTGGAAGCTTGTGCCTGGTTTCCTCCAGACTTCACCCCGTGTGCCTTTTCCCTTTGCTGATTCTTTGTATCCTTTTCCTGTAATAAATCATAGCTGTGAGTATGACTATATGCTGAGTCCTGTGAGTCTTCCTAGTGAATCACCAAACCTAGGGGTGGTCTGGAGTGAGCTTATCCTAATATCCAATTGTTATTATAGTCAGGATATTATAATTCTTCTAAAAATTAGAATTCCTTAAAAAAAAATCCAGCCAACTTTGCCTGGATGCAATTTATAATCATTTCTTACCTGTTCATTTATAATAATAATGAACCTTAATTTTCAAGGTGGCACAAACAGTTTGCACTCAGCCGGTGACCAAAAAGTTTATGGTTCAAAACCACCTAGAGGAGTTTGAACTAGGAAGAAAAGGCCTAGTGATCTGCTTTTGTAAAAGATTACAGCCAAGAAAACCGTACGGAGCAGTTCTGCTGTGTTACACATAGGGTTGCCATGAGTTGTAACTGATTCAGTGGCATGGACACAAAACAATATTCAATATTCAAACTTCCCCAGTGAGGTAAAGTGTGCTGCGCAAAATATTTTTTGACTTTTTATTATGAAAAATTTCCAATATTTAAAAAAAAGAGAATAAACTATAATGAACCCCCTGTAACCATCATCCAGCTTCAACAATTAATAGCTAATGGCCAATCTTGTATCATTTATATTCCAACCATTCCCCTCCTCCCTCAATCTCCCTTAACTGAGTAAAATTACAGACATCATTTCGTCTGTTAATATTTCCGTAACTACACACAAATTTAGTAAAAGAACGTTGTAAAAATGGCACGATGGCAGAGTCATCTGACCTCCTCTAACTTCACAAGGGGGGAAGGAGAATCAAGAACAGTCCCAGGCTGATTCCTATGAGGTGGAGGGTCAGACATGCCTCCTCTCTCCAACATCTTCACTAATTCTGACAATAACTGTCCTTCTCACGGCACTCTCTACTTCTCTGCTAGGTTCAACAGTTCATTGCAATGGTTACAGAGAACTTACGTACAGTACTCACGATTATGAGGTTTATTAGGGAAGTAACAGTTCAGGTTCAGGAACGGTCAGATACAGTTCTTCTAACAGGACAGCCTCTTCCCAGCCATGTCCACAAGCATGCCCTTCTCTGGCCCTTGTCCTCTGCCCTCCTTGGGCAAGTGTTACAAACCTCTTTTAGCTCTGCTGGTAAGTGCCTAGAGGCACCCCACTCCACCAGTAAGCCTTGACTTGAAGGGCTCAGCTCTAGCTCTGTGGGTTGGCAAACCTAGCTCCACCAAGTGCCCACAGAAGTACCCTACTCTGCCAGCAAGCCTCCTGCCAGAAGGCACTCAACTTTCTCACTCTGTGGGCCAGGAAGCCCACCACGCCATCTCCCGCCAGTCTCTCCTGCTGCCGTTTCTCTGCCACTGCTTCTCGCCATTTTCAGTGTTACAGCTCTCTCTCTCGGTCTCCTGGTTCCAGGAGTTTCTCTGCGCAAGAATCCCAGGTCCAAAGGACACACTTTGATCTTGACTCTTTCTCCTTGGTGGTGGTGAGATCCTCCCTCTGCTCTGGAATTGGCTCTCTTTTAAGTATAGTGGCATGGCAAAACTGACCAATCCCCTCCTTAGGGTTCCATACACCTTATTTGGATAGTACTACCCAATCACATGGGAGTGAGTTACCGCACCATGGCAAGAAAGGCCACACAAAAACGATCCATCACGCTGCAAACATAAATATCTAAAAGTGTATCTTTGTAATACCCTACTCTGACCACCAACTGAACTTATTTTTGAAGGCTGGTTTACAGAAGTAGAGGTCAGTAGCTTCTCTGCTTGTCTGCTGATTCCTCCACAGATTAACCAGGAGACAAAGAGCTTCCCCAGAAAACTTGCAACATATTTTCTATCCAACTCAGTTCAGAGAAGTAACTTTTTGATAGTATAGGACTGGATTTGTTATTGTCCAAGATTCCAGACTAAAGTATGAGTTTTTATTCTTTTAGTAAAATAATGTCGTCACTTCTGAATTCCTCTCAGATTAAAAATGGCATGATTTAACACTGTGTCATCACCTGCCCTATTTAACTTAGTAACTAATTCTCTTAATTTTATCACTAAATTTTTGTACCAACACACCAAGAAAAGAATAACTGAAGAAATTCTAGGAACCTCTTTACCTACCCTTCTCCACCTGAGAAATAAAATGATTTATTTTAAATGTTTCTATTATTCCAAGTGATGAAGTTTGAAATAACTGTGTTGTTGTTGTTGTGTGCCATCGAGTCAATTCTGACTCATAGTGACCCTATAGGACAGGGCAGAACTACCCCATAGGGTTTCCAAGACTGTAATCTTTACGGAAGCAGACTGCCATATATTTCTATCGTGGAGTGGCTGGTGGGTTTGAACAGCTGACCTTTGGCTTACGTTACCTTTTTCTTTGACTATTTTTTTATTTTCACTAAAAATATTATTTTTAGAATGGATAATACAGTACCTCTTTATCTAAAGTTTTCTTTTGAAGATACAAGCACTTCAATTTTTGCAGCATTACATCACTAATTTTCTTGCTCTCTTTGAAATGTTCAGCATCAGGATTGGTGATGTCCTAAGGGTAAGAGTTTAAGAATCTAATTTAAAAATTTTCAACACAGCTAAAAGGAAGAAGACTAAAACATAAATAAAACAAATTTCCCTTCCTTAAGAAGTAACCAAACCAAAGAAGGTAAAATAATATTGAACTCAATTCTTCAATTATTTCTCACATTTAATAAATGGTTATTGTGGAAAGACTTCATACAGATTCATTTGTATATAAATTGATATTGGGACAAATTAGTATAACTGCTGAAATATTAATACTCATCTATAATAACTATGCATGCTTACAGATTCTGATGTATATTTACCTTCTTAGCCTAGTCAGTCTACAAATTCACATTTTAGACAAACTGTTATTTGTCTAAAATAAAATCTGTTCCAACACCAGAACAATCAGATATCCTCAACAATACCGAAACTCTTATTTTGAGGGTACCTAAAATGAAACGTCCCTGGGTGGCGTGAACAGTTTCCACTCAACTACTAACCTAAAGGTTGGCAGTTTGAACCCACCTATCAGTGCTGTGGAAGAAAGGCCTGACAATATGCTTCCGTAAAGATCACAGCCAAGAAAACCCTATGGGTTCTATTCTGTAACACATGGGGTCGCCGTGAGTCAGAATCAACTTGCTAGCGATGGGTTTACCTAGCAAGAAGGAACTTGTATCACTATAACCTGGGTGCAAAGTGCACCCACTAAGGTCAGGCTGGCTGTGTCTGTATTTGAGTTCTGCCTCTTAATCATATGTGAGACTTTGGATAAGTAACTCAATCATTCTAAGCCTCAGTTTTCCTGTGTTAAAAAAAGGTTAACAATATAAAGAATGATAAAAAAATTAAATGAGTTAATTCATGAAAAGCAGTGACTAAAAATTCAAATCGTTTGAAGGACAGGACAGGCAATCAGCAAATTTTTATCAAGTGCCTATTAAGAGCTGAAGCATGCATTAGGTACCGGTACTGGGCACATAGCAGTTAACAGGGCATACCTCTGATCTTGAAGACTTATGTTCTAGTGGAGGCGGGAGATACAGATTATGCGGGCAAATAAGACTTGTTTGGGATGTCATGAAATCTATTAAGACCAACTGCACCATGGAGGGAAAACCCGGTGGCATATTAGTTAAGAGCTACAGCTACTAACCAAAAGGTCTGCAGTTCAAATCCACCAGGTGCTCCTTGGAAACTCTGTGGGGCAGTTCTACTCTGTCCTTTAGGGTTGCTATGAGTCAGAACAGACTCGATGGTAATGGGTTTTTGTTTTTTCTTTTTAAAACAGCACCATTGAGAGGTTTGGTAGAGAAGCAGCAGCTAGCAAATAAGACTGAGAAAGAACAGCAGGCACCAGCGAGACAGGAGAAAACCAGACAAACACACCTTCTCTTCACTTACTGACTACCGCATTACCTGACATTTCACATTCATGACAAGAGTAAAAAATCTACTATCTGACTAGTTTGCACATTAACGACGTATGTCTGGCAGTAATGAATGCTGAGGTGTGAGGTAAGAGTAATGCTGGCTGTGATGGTTAAAGTTATGTGTCAGCTTGGCTGGGCCATGATTCTCAGTGGTTTGGCAGTTATGTAATGATGTAATCTGGCAGTTATGTAATGATGTAGTCATCCTCATATAATGCTGATTTTCACATACAACCTGGTCTTTAGAACCTGACCATGTCAATAATTGAGGAGTGGGTTTATGGTGAGTAAGTAAATGGAGGGGCAAAGTGGAATGGAAAAGTTTGCAGCAAAAGAAAGTCTGTGCCCATTCAAATTCAAATATTTAAAAATAAACATTAGATGGACATAGCCTGTGGGCGACACTGTGTGATCTCTGTGTGAACTGCTCAGCCCCATTTCTAGCACTCAGTAAATGCTAGTGTTCAACTAATTGTAGCTAAAACAAAACAGAAATAGGGTTTTTGCTGGTTCAGGAACATCGTAAACCCAGGCTCCCAAATTTCAGCTCTGGTGAGTGCACATAAGAATAAAGAAATGCACAGTACAGAAGAGGAAGAAAAGAGCGAATCGGAGGACCTATGAAGTGTCATGCCCTTCAGTATGTTCTCACACCGAATGCAGTGCTTGTAACCTCCTTGGACAGCACGTATCATTTCCCCTATTTAAGATGAGGAAACTAACGCTGAGAAAGGTTGTTCCTTGACCAAGTTCACACAGTTGGGAAGTGGTGAAGCCAGCGTTTAAATTCATCTGACACGAATGTCGTTTTTATTCTATTGTACACAGCTCCACACTCCCTCCCCCTCAAAATCTATATTTTAGATTAGATAAACAACTCATTAAGAGTGAACAATAATTAATTACTAGGAGTAGACTGAGCTAGAGTACAAGAACTACTGTTTTCCTGAAATTTGGGAAGTACTAAAAGAAGGATGGCGTCTGTGGGTGGTAAAAACAGCGAATGTGAAGAACGGTTGGAGATTTGAGTCTACCCAGAGGTGCCTTGAAAGAAAGGCCTGGTGATCTACTTCCGAAAAATCAGCCATCAAAAACCCCGTGGAGCATAGTGCTACTCTGACACACATGAGATTGCCGTAAGTCAGAGTCGACTCCATGGCAACTGGCAAAAAATGAAGGATTTTGCTTGATGTCTCTACTTTATTACTGTGGCCTTCTGGGATTTAAGTGTTGAAGAAAGATAAACAGAAAGAAGCAGGAGGAGGAAGGAAAGGCTGGATGGTTGATTTAGGGGCCTATATTCTGTCTTCCATTTCTTTCTTCCAAGACTTAATTCTGTCACCTTTTGTTGTCTCTCCATTGCTTTAGTTCAACCCGGATATTTTTCCCTGTTATGGACTGATTGTGTCCCCAAATATATACGTTGTAAATCCTAACTCCTGTAGTGGTTATAATCCCATCTGGGAATGGGTTTTCTTTGTTATGTCAATGAGACAGTATTAGCGTAGTAGAGTCTGTTTTAAATCACTCTCTGTTGAGATATAAAAGAGATTAGACAAGCAAGCAAAAAGCTGAGATGGGGGAAGATACTCCACACCACATAAAGGTCACCAAGAAACCAAAGAAAAGGACCTTCCCCCAAAATCGACAGAGAGAGAAAGCTTTTCCCTAGGGCCGGCACCCTGAATTTGGAGTTCTAGAATCCTAAACTGTGAGAAAATAAATTTCTGTTTTTTTAAAGCCATCCACTTGTGGTATTTCTGTTATAGCAGCACTAGATAGCTAATCAAAAAAAACCAAATCCGTTAATGTCGAGTTGATTTCGACTCATAGGGGCCCTACAGGACAGAGTACAACTGCCCCATAGGGTTTCCAAGGAGTGACTCGTGGATTTGAACTGCTGACCTTTTGGTTAGCAGCTGAGCTCTTAACTACCACACCACCAGGGCTCCAGATAGCTAAGACACCCTCTAATAAAAAAATCTAAATTTTCTTATTACCTGGCATGTGAGAAGTCCCACCATCAGAGTTAGCAGATTGTGAATTTTGGAGGACAGCTGAGTTCTTTTCTCATCTGGAGGACTCAGGCTCTTGTCTTCACAAGGTGGGCAATTCAGGAACAAATCAGAATGTATCATCTTCGTATCCTACATGAACACGAATCAGATTTGTTACAATAAAGACTAAGAACCGAGATTACCTTTTAAGTAAAACATTGAATAAAAAATCTAAACCCGTAAAAAACTTGAGCAGGGGCTCTCAAACTTTTTGCTCTCAGGATCCCTTTATACTCTTAAAAATTATTGAAGACCCCAAAAAGCTTTTGTTTATGTGGGTTATATCTACTGATATTTATTGTATTAGAAATTACAACTGAGAAAATTTAAAAATATTTATTTTCTAATTGGTTTAAATAACAATATTAAACCCATCATATTTAGGTGACATTGTTTTACATTTTTACAAATACTTTTAAATCTGGCTTAAGTAAAGACAGCTGAATTGTCACATTTGCTTCACACATTTCATTAGTATGAAGCGATTACATCATCATATGTCATGTATCTTCTGGAAAACTGCACTGTAAATTTGTGAAAGAATGAGAGTGAAAAAGGCAAATAACATCTTAATATTATTATGAAAATAGTTGTGACCTCATATACACCACAGACCATACTTTGAGAATGCTAAACTAGAGTTAATGAAAAGCAGAACTAAAAAGCAGAGTAAGTACGGTTTTGGGGGTAAAGAATTGATTAGTCAAGATAAGAAAAAAACTTTAAAACAAAGCTCAAGAAAAAAATTGTACGCTGTGCTAAACTTTTGTACAACAGAACCAATTCTGTCTGAACTCACCAATACAAAATTTGTCATGATGTGATAAGGAGCTAAACTTAAGGTCATCTTTGCTTAGTGGTTCTCAAAGTGTTGTCCTCATCAAGTAGCATCAGCATTACCTAGGAACTTGTTAGGAATTCTCTGGACCCACCCCAGACCTACTGAATCAGAAACTCTGGGGATGGGGTACAGTAATCTATGTTTTAACAAGGCTTCCAGGGGATTCTGATGCACCTTCAAGTTTGAGAAGCACTGGTTTAGGTAATCTCTCCTTTCTGGAGAAAAAAATTGTACAGCTAATTTTTTAAACCAAAGAGAACAACAGAATCTTATCTATGTTACTAACAATTCTTAAGAATAATACAATTATTTACTTACAATTCGTATGCCAATTACAGATTGATAAAGTAGGCCCACTAACGACATCTGTAAGGCAACATATTAGCTAAATCCACGTTATTATAACAAAACTGAATCTAAAAATTTTTACATTTTTTCTAGTTCAGAGTCAATAAAATTTTACTATACATATTATAAGGCAGGTTTACAAAACTGAAATAGATTTGTTCCAGCTTGTGAAAATTGTTACTTCCAGGATGTCCTCCAAGTTCTCAGCTGCCAAGAAAGCTATTTGAACTAATAGCAGATAATAAAAAATATATAATCTGTTCAAACATATTGATATAAGTTTCTAATGCAGTTTTTAGATGCATTATAATTTTACAAAATTAATACATGAATAGGTTGTTTTTATTTCGTTTTATGGTTGAATAGGCAGAAACGGTACAAAATGTGAAACACTGAGATCCATGCTCAGAAAAACCTTTTCAAAAGGTACTTCTGAGGGTTGCTTCAGATGATGGTCAGGGGTACCCACAGCATTTTCAGGTTGTCATTTCTACCAAAATAACCACTAGATGCCAGAAATAGCCTTCTTTAATATAAATACCCATAAACCAAAACAAACTTCTCCAAATCTGTTGAGCATTTTCTAGTCTATATCTTTTTCTTTTTTGTTAGTGTTTCTGGAAACAAATAATATATGTAAGTGCCATGCTATTTGATAATATTTGAAATCCTAACACAAAGAAAGAACCATAAAGCCAATTTGATAAGACTAATCAGATAAAGGAAATTATGTCTTTAGGGGACTAAAATGTGAAAGATTCAAAAACATGAGGTCATGATGTATACTATCTTTGCACTTTTATAATAATCAATACACATCACGTAGCTTATAGGGGCTTAAATATGCATGACTAGACTATTAGAAACTCCTGAAATTTTAGAGATTCTGACTTGCATCAATACCTTTGTAGTATCTGACTCCATAGCCTCCTCCAATTGCTCCTTTAACTCAGCTATCTCCAACTTAGGGACATAGTTTTGCTCCTCACTCCTGGTAATCTGTTGCTGAAGTTTGGCATTTTCATTTTTGATTTCATTGATCTGCTGCTGAAGTTTCATATTCTTAGCCCTTTCATTTTCAGAGATGAATTTCAAACTTTTAACTTGAGCAACCAATTTGTCAAGACTAGATTTCAGCTTCTGTCTTTCTTGTATGTTTTGCTTTTCGTGTTTCTGGAATTTCTCCTGTAAAGACAGGAACTCTGGTCCTCGGGTCTCTTTTTCCCTTTTCACTAAGTCCAGAGCAGAAGCGGTGGCCTTTTCCAGTTCTCCTTTGACTTGCTGCAGCCTCGCTACCTCTTCTTCTTTCTTGCTTAAGGTTTTGTCCATCTCGATACACTGACTTACACATTTATTTTTTTCCTGAACTTCTGTCATATATCTTTCCTGTAGATGAACGTAATTCACCTTGATCTTTTTAAGCTCTAGCTGTAAGGTTTTCTTTTCATTCCTAGATTCTTGAAGATGTTTTTGGGTGTCAGATAGAATCTCCCGCACATTCTTCAATGTTCTGTCAGCATCATTCTTCTCTAAGATTACTTTGTATTTGTCTTCAATTAATTTTTCGACATTCTCTTTTAGCTTATTAATGACGTCAACCAACACCTGCTGTCTGGTAATCTTCATCTGTAATTCTTTAACCTTCTTCTCTAAATACATGTTACTACACTGTAGGTCTTGGATTCGAATTTGCTGCTTTTTGTTGCTATGTTTTAATTTCCGTAAGACTTCATTTAAAGCCATGTCTTCCTCCAGAGGTTGTAAGTTTTCGAAGCTTTGCCCCATGTCAGAGGTTTTGCAGTCCCCCCTGAATCCTCCACCACTCCAGGAAATGTCTGTGGGGGACCAAGCTGAGAACACCCCCGGGTTCTCCACGTCCTCCACTCTGGCTTCCTTTTGGTGACTCACTGACATCTGAGGCATCTCTCCAGAATTCTGTATTTCACTTGGTGAAACTGCTGTCTGTAAATTATAGTAAATAAAATAAGTGGGAACGAGTAGAACAATCATGAGCTTTGGAGTCAGATCCCAAGTTTACTTTCCCCAGTTATAAAATAACAATAATACCTACTTGCAGTTTTCTAAGAATTACTTGCTAAATGTACATAAAGCACCTAATAGCACAGCATAAAGAGTAGGTATACGATAAAGTGAGGTATATTATACTTTTTACTAAAAGTACACACATACTTTTACTAAAGAAAAATTAAAGTTTGGTACTCTCATCATTTTCTATGATTGCAAATTCTTCTGAACACAATATAAGATGCTACTTTCTCTGACTTCAAATAAAACCAATAAATTTACTTATTACTCTATAGTCCCTTTTGAATAAAGCTTTTATTTTTAATTCCCCATTTAAACTATTACTTCACTATGCTATGAATTCTATAAACATTAGAATGTCAGAGGAACATGCCTCATGATTGACTTTATGCCGACAATACAGGTTTTGCGGGGTTTAAAAAGGGACAGTACATTATGATAAGACAACACTGAAATAAATGTGACACAAAAACCCAGTAAAAGATATCTGTACGCGTGGGCTGCATAACTTTTTGGAATTTAAAGATATCGAACCCCTGTATTTTAATGCTTTTTCATTGCTTTGGGATAAAGACAACTGTCCTTATTGAGGCCTATAAGGCTCTGATATCTGATCTTGATATCTGACCTATGCCACCTTTCCACCTCATTTACTACATCCCTCTTGCTCCCTAACCCAGTGTTACTGAGCTTCCCTCAGGTCCTAGTAGGTATCATGGTCCCTGCAGCCACAGGACTTTTGCATGTTGTTCGTCCTGCATGGAAAGCCCTCCTACCCACCACTACCTGATTGACTCCTACTTATTTAACCTTCAGGGCTCAGCTCTGTTACCACTTCTTCAGCGTGCCTTCCCCAAACTCCCTGACTGGGGTAGTACCCCTGTTATAGACTCCCATTGTACATGTAAATTGTAGTCACAGCATTTACCATAGTCCCAAGGATACAGCTACTTGTGTGATTATTTAGTTAATGTCTATCTCCTCTACTAGAATGTTACCTTTATGAGGACAAGAAACACTTCTTTTTGTTTGTTTAACAGTATCAACCAACCCATAACACAGGGCTTAGCACAGAGTAGAGGTCTGAAAGTATTTACTGACTAAATGAGTAAATAAATGCAGTGAAAAGAGGAAGGAACAATCCTGAGAAACTCTAACCAAACAAAAAAGGGAAATAAAGTTCTCTTTTAAATGCTGCCATCTATTTTCAAATAAATGAACAAAAAAAAATGTTTATATTTATAAAAGGAACACAATGGCCATAGCTTTTTTTCATCAAACTCACAATAAAAAGTTATAATTTATGCTAGTCTTGGATTATATCTACTTGTCCACACCAGAATCGTTTTTTGCTTAGAAAGTACACAGGATTTATACTGCTGGCATCTTCAGTGCTCTTACGATGCTACATGTGTACCCAGCAGCAATAAATCAAGAGAATAGTCTTACGATGCTACATGTGTACCCAGCAGCAATAAATCAAGAGAATAGGTTTTTTCACTTTGGTAGAAAAATAATTTTTGCTTGTTGACAAAAGTCCAGCAAGATAGAAAAATCTTAATCTTTCTTGTCAAAAAATTTAATTAATCTATCTGTACTCCTTCTTCTTTGCAGCTACTTTGATTCAGCAAATACAAAAGCTTATTTTATTCAAGGCACCATGTAAACACTAAGGTACATAAAAAGATAAACAATATAGACGTGATGCTCAGAGAAATTATCATTTGGTAGTGCGAGTCCCCGAGGATAGACCAGGTTTTATTGGCAAAATATGTTTCTGACTAGGTTACGACCTCAGAATGGATTCTTAGAATCCAGAAAAGAATGCCCCTTGTACTGATTAGACTGCTTAACACTACCTGGAAAAGTCTCAGATGATACACACACATTTTTTAAAAAATACATTCTTTAATACTCCATGGGCTTTACCAACCATCAAAAACTTACCTCTGTTTCATAGTTAGCTCTCAGATCACGCAGGTTAAAGCTACTCTCTTTATTCAGTGTTTCCTCAGCATCACTGTATACACTTTCCTTATAGAAGAAGCTTTCAGGTTGAGTAGGATTGCGGGCAGGTCCCCTGGCACTACTTTTAGCCAGTGAATTTTCCATGAAATTCAGCTTATCTCCACAGCAGCGGATTAGAGGTGGACTTCTAGAAGATTCACTGACAGACTCATTAGCAGGTTGGTCTTTATTTGTGGAAATGCTAATTCCCACAGGACTGTCTTCCTTAAACAAATTTTTCTTTATACTGCTGTCTTTTTCATAATTACACATATGACTTTGTAATTCTGGCTTCTCTGTGTAATGTAAGCCTTCCATGGAATTTTGATTTGTTGTAATTTCATCATTAAAGGCTTCTGCCCAATGAAATTTGCAAATGGGTTCAAACTGTTTCAAAGAAGAAATGCTGGTGTCACTTGGCTGAATTAGTACATTCTGTGAGTACTTTTCAATGTTGATATCTTATTAGAAACAGGAAAAAGGAAATAAGAATTAGTGGACTATAAATTTATGTGTTAACAGCTATGTTTAAGAAATAAACTGTTGGAGCCCTTTGAGAATTATATATTATTTCAACTTTGTTCGTTCTATGGATTGTGACATAGATTTTTTTTCCTAGCAAAAAAACAAAACAACTTTTTACATAGGGGAAAGGAGGCCCCAAATGACTGCTACAAAAAAAACTTGTTACGTCACTCACATCAAATATCATTAACACAAATTCTAAGATATCTTCAAAACTCTTTTGATGTACTGTAATTTTTAAATGTTTTCACTTTAAAATGTGTCAAAAATATACCAAAACGAAGAATAATGTAATAGCAAAAATGAATAAACTCATTTGGGTATTGTTATGATTCCTGTTTTCCAGACAAAACTGAGACGTAAGTGAAGTGAAGTCACTAAGGTTACAGAGCTGGTAAGGAATGTAGCTGGGATTCTAGAATACTACTTCTAACGGCTAAGCAATTCTGCCTCTCAATATGACAAATTACCCAGACTTAATACGTGTTTTAAAAAATCAGAAGCAAAGAAGTCAAAACGTAAAGAAATAAAATGATGTAAAAGTAATGAATGATGCTCACCTTCTATTTAACGCTCCTCCGTTTCCCCTCCCAAAGAAAAATCAATGTATTGAAGTCCATATTTTTCTACTCTTATTACTCATTTAGGTACCCTAAATAAAACATAACAAGTTCCCAGGCTTTCTCATTTCATGATACCCTTAATGTCTCAGTAGATTTTTCACAACACCCCTTGGCTAAAAAAAAAAAAAAACTCTAACAGTTCCACTTATTAAGTAGGTAAGCTCAAACAACTTAGTATTTGTCCTAACAACCTTGTAGCTGTTTGAAAATACACATAAAGTAAAAGAAAAACAGAATATTTTGTTCCATTCTTAAATAACCACATTTATTTACTACTTGGATGTGCATTGCTGGACACTGAACAATATCCCACACCTTGAAATAACATTTGACAACGCCATCCTCATTTTTTGTTCCATATTGATTTTCACGTGGCCTTGCTTTTTATCACAGAAACCACCAAAAACCCAGTTTTGCGAAGACATGATATCATGGAAAGGAATGTAATGCAGTTTAATATTGAAATAGTGAACCACCTAGAGCTAGTACTTTGTGGGGTCCAACCGATGTCCAAGTATCACTGTTTCCCTCACATTTAAAAATATCCCACAAAACTCCTCTTGAGTTTGCTGTAGTACCTGGGCAAACCATGGATATGTAGTATACTTTTATGCTTAAAATTTTATATAAATAGGATCATACTATATACATCCACATGAAAATATTTATTGCATTCAAAATTATGTTTTTGTGACTTAGCCACATAGATCTAGTGCATTCTAATGGAGAACTATACTTTATTTCCTTTATGTTAGATATTTAGGCTGTTTTGAATTTCACTATTAAAAACAACACTGTAGTGAGTGTCCTTATACATGTTTTCTTGTACATTAATGTAAACATTTTTATGTAGGCCCCAAATATACCTAGAAGTATAATTGCTGGATTATAGAAAATAGATATTTTCAATGTAACTAGATTTTGCAGTTACTCTCCAAAGTGGTTGTACCAATTCTTAATCTTACCAGTAGCAGAAGAGTTCCTTTGCTCTACATCCCTTCAACACATGTCAAACTGATGCATATGAAGAAGTATTTTATTGTAGTATTTTTCAAGTTCATCCTTTCATGTACTTAATGGTGTTGCAGGTTTCCTTTTCTGTGATCTGCCTGTTATATGCTTTCGCTGCTTTTCTATTGGGTTATCTTTTTTCTTACTGATTTGGAGTTATTGTGTGTATCAATCCTTTGTCAACTACATATGTATTGCATATAATATCTTCTCTCAGTCTGTGGCTTGCTATTTTTACTTTGCTGATTATATTTTGGTCACACTAAGTTTTTTTAAAATTATTACTGTACTTTAAATGAAGGTTTACGGAATAGTTTCTCATTATAGTACACATATTGTTTTATGACAATGGTTAACAACCCCACGACATGTCAACACTGTCCCTTCTCAACCTTGGGTTCCCCATTACCAGCTTTCCTGTCTCCTCCTGCCTTCTAGTCCTTGTCCCTGGGCTGGTGTGCCCCATTAGTCCCGTTGTATTTTATGGGCGTGTCTAATCTTTGGCTGAAGGGTGAACCTCGAGAGTGACTTCATTATTGAGCTAAAAGGGTGTCTGGGGGCCATACTCTCAGTTTCTCTGGTCTCTGTCAGACCAGTAAGTCTGGTCTTTTTTAGTGAGTTAGAATTTTGTTCTACATTCTTCTCCAGCTCTGTCTGGGACCCTCTGATACAGAAGTTTTTTTTTAATGTAGTCAAACATATAAATCTTTTCCTTTATATTTTGTCCTTTTTATGTCTTAAGAAATCTTTCTCTTCCCTGTTGTCATATTTTCTTTTAGAAGTTTCGCAGTTCACATTTAGGCCTTTAACCCATGTTGGACTTATTTATACATCTGGTGTGGGGTAAGGTTCTAACTGTTTCCTTTATTTGGAGAGCCAACTGTCAGCACCATTTAATGAATAATGCATTCTTCACTGATTTACAATGACATCTCTATCAAATACCAAGTGTCCATAAAGATATGTGGGTCTATTTTTAGACTGTATTCTTTCTATTATACTACTTTATTTACTCTTCTGCTATACTAAACCAAAACCAAACCTATTGCCGCCAAGGCAATTCTAACTCATAGCAACTCTTTAGGATAGAGTAGAACTGCCCCACTGAGTTTCTAAGGCTGTCAGAATCAACTCGACGGCAGCGAGTTTGGATTTGGTTTGGTTAATCTTTATAGAAGCAGACTGCCACATCTTTCTGCCATGGAGCGGTTGCTGAGTTCAAACCGCTGACCTTTCGGTTAGCAGCCAAGCTCTTTACTACTGCGCCAGCAGGGCTCCTTTCTGCTATACAAGTAGACCCCGACTTAAGATGTATTCAAGTTATGATGAACCGCACTCACTACCGTCCATTTTTGTTCTTTGGTACATCTTATCTTTAGTAATATGTACTACATACAATGCTGCAGTATGTAATTTGCTGATGTTATCATTCTCAGATGTATCACGCACAGATGTTCAATTTTATGATTTGCTGTTCAAAACACTGCTGTGTTTTGAAATGAAAACTTAAAAAAAAAAAAAAGAGGTATTCGACTTACATCAGAATCGACTTAAGGTGGAGTTCTCAGAATGGAAACCTGTCCTAAGTTGGGGACTACCTTACTTTGTTGGGTGTGCTGTTGATTTTGACTCATTGTGACCCTATACTACATTGTTATGATTACTATAGATCTATAATGAATCTTATCTGGTAGGGTAAATCTCCACATCTTTTTCAAAATTGTCTTGGGTATTTTTTTCAAGCTCTTTTAATTTCCAAACGGGAATGTTAGGATCAATTTCCTAAGGAAATTTCATTAATTCATAAATTTGAGGCAAAATGACACCTTTACAGTCTTGAACATGAAATATTTGCTTTTTATGTCCTCTGGGAAGGTTTTATCATTTTTTTTCCTATAGAAATCTTAAACACCTTTGATTATTTTAAGTACCCTTGTTGTGTTTCTGATAACAGTTATCAGTTTTAAAATTACTTTTTCTAATTGGTTGTTGCTTGCACATTGGTATGCTATTGATTCTTTTGTATTCATCTTTATCCAGCATTCTTCTAAACTTTATTAGTTCCAGTAGCTTATCTGTAGGGTCTTACAAATTTTCTATGTAGACAATCATGTTATTTAGAAATAATCACTATTTCTTCTCTTCCTTTCTAATGCTCATACTATCTATTTTTCTGATACCTGCATGTATTGAATTCCGTGATTTTAATAAGACTTGTGGAGATAAAAACAGCCCTTATTGCATAAAATTGTTTGTGGATTAACTGAGGTAATATATATAGCGTTTAGCACAATGCCTGGCTATTATTGTTATTACCATGTTGCTGATGCTGGGTATCATCAAGTCGAATCCGACTCATAGCAACCCATGTGACGGAGTAGAACTGCCCCATAAGGTTTTCTTGGGTATACTCTTTACAAAAGCAGATCACCGGGCCTGTCTTCTGCGGAGCTGCTGAGTGGGTTCAAACCTCTAACCTTTCGATTAGCAACTGAGTGCCTAAATGTTGCACCACCAGAGCTCCTTGTCATTACCATAATACACAAAATTTTTAGGTATTCTGTTTTGCATATTGCCAAAAGAGATACTCACCACCTATCAAATTGCCTAGTGTGTTACAAATATCTTCAGAAAGTGTTAATTCAGACTCATTTTCCACTTTTACATTCTTTATTTCATTCTGTATTAATAATAAAACAAGGCATTAATATTAATACTTAAACATTATCATAAGCTTCTTCTAAAGGTGTATGTACATTGCTAAGTAATTTTTCTGTTAGAATTTTTTGTTGCACAGAAATAGTATGCTTTCTAGTATCCTTCCTCACTGCATATTTGAGCTCCCTTTTAATAAAATCATGCTAACAGTCACAATACAAAACGACAAAATGAAACAAGTATCTGGTTATTTTAATATTTTGTTTTTTCAGTAAGTGATATCACGTGACTATAAAAATTGTGTGAGGCTCTGTGGGAGAAAAGACTATAATCAGAGAGATAAATAATAGTATATCTGTTACTGATAATTCTTTGGTGTTTGTTAAATTTGGTCTAAATGGCATTATGGTGGTTATGATTCTCGTCTTTTAGCATTGAGGATATATAAGACAGGGTTCCAGTAATAAGATGAAATCTGATTCCACTAAGTGGGAATTTATAAAAATTCATGTGGGGCTTATTCTCAAGGTTACCTAAAGATGAAAGGGTTTATTAAGTAAATTAATGGTATAAATAAGACAGTGAGGAAAATATTTAAAGTGCTTAAGAAAAACATTGGCTAAATCATTAAGTGGACCTAAATGATGCTCAAAAAAATATTAAAGTCACTGACTATAAACCTCTACTCGATAAAGCTTTTAAAGCATTGTCCTATTCACTGAATGTACCTGAAAGTAATAAAAACTGATTATATAACAATTTTACTTAGACTTGTTAATTCAGGCCATTTCTCCTAACTAGATAAAAATGTATAAAGAATAATATACTTGAAAAATAAAACAGTATTATTCACATGCATTAATGTGTTTTACACAAACTCCTTGGGACTCCACTACTCATAGAATTTCAGAGATCATTTCTAAGTCTAATCTTCTGTGATTTTATTATTTTTAACTAAAATATGCACTTTTGCTCCTTTGATCTATATATTTATTATAAAGAAAAATATTCAGTACATAGTATTTTGGAGCCTGATTAACACAGTAATATTATGGTCAAAACAATTTTTTTTAATGAAAATAGTTTTTTTATAAGAATTTTAAAGATTGTTTAAAAAAAAAGTGAAAGCAAAACCACTCAAAAGCCCACTACAGTGAGAACCAATGTGATCATTCTTCCATGTGAAAAAATACATATCCATATTATCACATTTAAGGTTACATATCCTCTGTACATATGTACAATAATTTAACTAGCCCCCTACTGATGAAAATTTAGGTTGTTTCCAATCTTTGGTTATTAAGAACAGCTCTAAAAACATACTTTTATGTATACTTTCTACAGGTAGAATTGCTAAATTAAAAAAAGGTATAAACTCTTGATTTCCTATCACTAAACAGCCCACTAGGAAGGTTATTCCAATTTATAGGGGAACCATAATAAGCTGCCAATTTTTGTCCATTTTTGACTTACGAACTGCAATTTTATAGGGTTTGTTGTTATTAGCTGCCGCCAAGTTGGCCCTGGACTCATGGCGACCCTATGCAAAATGGAATGAAATGATGCCTGGTCCTGCGCTGTCCTCATGATCAGTTGTCGATCAGTCTGTCTTGGTATGGAAGCACCACTGAAACTTGTTCGCATCATAGCAACATGCAAGCCTCCACTTAGACTGGCAGATGGGTGGTGGTTACGTTTGAGGCACACTGGTTGGTAATCGATCCTGGATCTCTTATTTCTGGCATGGAAGGTGAGAATTCTATTCTATTATTTCTCTTAACTCTTGCTAATAAGTGTCAAATAGAGCAACATTCATGAAGATCTTGGGACATTAAAATCTCTTTTGTGAGAAAGGGCACTAGGAATTTTAATGAAACAGGAGGGGAGTCAATTATAGGCAGGGTGTTGTCAACATCATTATGAATGACATGAGTCATTTATATACTGACATAGTGGAAGATATACTGGATCAGGCATCAAGCCTCTTGGGCTTTCATTCTTCGTGACTGAGTTGTGACCCTGTCCCCTGGCTGCCCTCTTGGGACTTCATGAGAAGATCTTTTTTTTTTTTTAAAGAGAGAATCACTTTTAACAATCCTTAAAATTCTACCTTTCTTTGTACACTAATGGCACTGGGAAAAACAGACCTTCTATGCTCCCCCCCTCTTTATTCCTCCATTGGAAATTCTTTTATTGTTCTTTGTATATTGAAGAAATTTTCATATGGAAGACAACATGAATGCTGAATGCATCTGTAGATCCCAGAATTTATGAACAATGCACACCTGAGGCAAGTCTGAAGTGGTACTGCTGGTTTCCATGCAGAATGGAGAATCTGGGTAAGCTAAGTCTTGAGAAAAACAGCTGACATTCATAGCATCTGCTTCTGACATGCTTTCTAATTTTTCTTGAGAAGTGTCCATTTCAAAATGTACAGGATCTGAAGGTGATGAACAAAATTGTTGATAGTCCTTGTTCCTAAATGTTAATAAGGCAGGCCTCTTTAAAAAATAGTTTTAGTACCTATTAGTATATGCAAACAAAAACCTATTTTCCCCATCCTTCTTCATGTTAAGAAAGCAGCAGTTTACAGGCCCTAATTTTAAAATGTCATTTGTCAAGTTATTGGAGAAATTAAAAATTTTAGTCTGAGTATACCATGGTAACCATGGTAGTAAATACTGCTTTGGACAAAAACAAGTTAATTCCCTAAAAGGCTTGAAACCCAGATGGTGAAGGGATCCCTAAGTTATTTAATCAAAAACTACATATAGAATATCATCAGAGATCCATTGCTGTTTTTTGGTGCTGTCAAGTCGATTTTCAACTTATAGTGACCCCATGCAATAGAACAGAACTGCCCTGTAGAGTTTTCTAGGCTGTCATCTTTATGAGAGCAGATCACCAGGTCTTCCTCCCACAGAGTGGTTGAGGGGGTTCAAACCGCTAAGCGAACTCTTAACCACTGCGCTACCAGGGCTCCTTTAGGTTCCATAAAACACTATTTCTATTTACTTGATATTTTGTATCTGAACACCTCATTATCAAGTCAAACCCAACACTGAAAATTAGTTTTCCCTCCTCTTTTCCTATTCTGTCAGGCACTTGGGCTTGAAAATTTGGAGACGGCTGTCGTTGGCATCTGTCTCCATCTATTGAATTGACAGGACTTGGTAACTGAATAGCATCATCCATGGCTATTCAGTTATCAAGTCCTGTCAATTTCTCCTTTTCAAATTTCATCGTGACCTCCTCAGGTCTGCCAGGGGATGGGAATGGAAAAGATGTCCAATCGTACTGAGTCCGTATTCTTCTGCTTGACTTTCTAGGCCTTTCATAACCTGGACCCGCAATACCTACCCAGTACTCTCTCCTACTTCAGTTAGTTAAGGCTCATTTCCCTGTAGTACATCATGCTCCTTATCACTGCAGTAATCTGCCCTGGCATGTTTCTCTCCTCCTGAAATATTCTCACCCATCCGAGTTCTTATTCATCTATTTCTTTGAATTCCTACGTCTTCAGTCTCTAAATATGTATCTCACAATTCAGCACTTACTCGTTTACTGTTTTCATCTTCACCACTGTTTCGAGTGTTAGTATTTACAAATTATAAGCACTTTGAGTCTATTCATTTTTCAATACTACCTACAGCGAACAAACCAGTGTTGCCCACACAGTAAACAGGGACTGAATAAACCTGCACTCCAACAATTTGTTATATCCTCTTCATCTGTATCACTACCCATTGGCCTGGATTAGTTACTCAATTTGTTGAAAGTTGTTTTCAAATCTATGGCATCATTTGGTAAAACATAAAAGTCAATGAGCCAAGCAATCTAGTCAGGACTGATGAAAGGTCCAAGTTTATGCCTGCCTTTTGCCTCCCTTCTGGATACTTAAAAGTCACTGGGTTGTGGGGAAGGAGACCTGAAAAACCCCCGTTGTATTTTCCAAATGCAACAGGAAAGGATCTTATTTCTTAAATTTTTTGTGAATCCAGAATTTCTATACACTTTTACAAATTTGTTCACTTCTTAGATGGCACTGCACAATCTTTTTATTTTTTTTTAAGTTAAGCTTACTTTTTCCACCTCTAATTTCTGTTCTTACCAGCTTTCTCGTTCGATTTAAAAACATTTATCCAAATGTTTGGGTAGATATTCCAGAAGTTCTAAAGCTGTTTTAAGATAGCTTTAAAATGTCACCGGAGTTACTGGCAAAATTCTAGTATTTTTGTTTGTAAATTTTTTCAATCATAGGACTGGATTAACTTCTAACGCACTTATCACATTCTCCCCTGAAAACAGCGCACTGAACTTTTAAGCCGCAAAGGTGTTCTCACTTCCAGGCTCCATATAGTTTCTTGGATCTACAATAAGGATTTCGTGCTTTCTCCTTCCACACTGGGTTTTGTGGGAGGGAGAACACTTCTCAACCTTTTCCACGGATGGCTTTTAAAAACTCGCAGTTGGGATCCTGGCGCATTGGAACGAGCCTGCTGTGACGTCCGCCCAAGCACAGCCAATCTTGTCCGGGAGAGGCGCTTGTCAGGCTCCGACGCCCTCCGGCCGCGTCCCCGCGGGCGACGCCTCCCGCAGAGTTCTGAGTTCTGTGGGTACGACCCCACAGACCGAACAACCCGTGGACTATTGTTCGCGTCTTTCTGCAGGAGGAAACACAAAGTGGGGAGCAGAAACGAAGGGCCAGCACAGGTTTAGCTTAGCCAAGGGACTCAGTACGTCAACTAACTCTGGACCATGCAGCTCTCCCACACGGTCGGGAGCGAACTCCTGCTACTTAGCCCGGCTCAGGGGTGGGACTTCCGGTTGGAAGGGCTTCCTGGAGGTCGTCCTTCCGGTAGGGGTGGGGCTTCCGGTAGGGGTGGGGCTTCCGGTAGGGGTGGGGCTTCCGGTAGGAGCGGGTTAGGGTACCCGGGCGGTGGGTCCCCGGTTCTCACAGCACGTGGTGTGCGCGGTTGGTGTAGAGACTTCTGGAAGGTGTGAGAGGCGAGGAGCCTCGGAGAGGTCGTTGGATCGGCAGCCGGAGAAGCCGTCCCTGTGCTGTTCCTCTTCCAGCGTAGGCCGAGCGGCCTCCGGTATTGCTGGGGGCTCGCGCATTTCAGTCATGGACTACCGGCGGCTGTTGATGAGCCGAGTCGTCCCGGGGCAGTTCGACGACGCGGATTCCTCTGACAGGTAGACACATTGGCTTTGTTCAGATTCTGCTGTCTGCTCCTCCGCCCCTTGACGGGAGTTGACTCTTTTGTGGGTTAGAGGGGAGACTCAAGGCCTCTCACAGCCAGGTCTTTCGTCCCTGTTTACGGCAGGGTTAATGAAAGCCACTTGCTAAGTGGGTCCAGGGTTTCCAGGTTGGTAAGCATCGTTGAGAGGCAGAGTTGGAGATCCACCCCCCCACAAAAAAAAATACAAAACAAACCAAGCCCATTGCCGCCGAGTCGATTCTAACTCATAGCGACCGTATAGGACAGGGTAGAGCTGCTCCATAGGGTTTCCAAGGAGCGCCTAGTAGATTCGAACTGCTGACCTTTGGATGGGGGTTGGGAAACGTAGGCTTTTGTGCTTTAACTACAATCAGCGTTCAACAAATAATAATTGAACACCTGCTGTGTACCAAGACCTGTCCTGGACGCTGAGGATAGTGATGAACAAGAAAACCAAGTCCGCGTCGTCGTGGAACTTTACCTCCTACTTGGGGGCGGGGGATGAAATGTGAGGAGAGGCAAGTACGTAGAGATTTTACAAAACCAGATTAGGGTATACACTATGAATAAATCGCATAGGTTGGTATACTAAATAATGGCTGAATGAATGGTCAGAGGAGGAGTAAATCCGAATCTCAGTGACAAAAAGGAGTTAACCGTGGGAAGAGCAGAGTGAACAGCATTTCAGGCAGAGGAGACAGCAAGTGCAGAGGCCCAACTGTGAGATCCCTGTTGTTGTGAAAGGAATATCAAGAAGCCAGAGTGGTAAGGAGTCTTTGAGTGGTGCAAAGGTTAATGCAGGTGGCTGCTAACTGAAACGTTGGAGGTTCAAGTCCACCCAGAGGCACCTCAGAAGAAAGGCCTGGTGGTCTACTTTTGAAAAATCAGCCATGGAAAATCCTATGCCTCTGAAACTTACCTGAGATAATCTTTAAACCTTAAACCAAAAAATATCACCCGAAATCTTAAAACCAAATTATACTCTTTAAAGGACTGTCTATGTGGGATCAAATTGACAACAGCAACTTGAAAGATTAGGTAGGAACCTTAGAGGGCAGTGAGTTTATGTTAATGGAGGAGGAACAAGTCAGAGAAGGAGGATGAGAATGGTTGCACAACTTGAAGAATGTAATCGATGTCACTGAATTGTACATGTAGAAATGGTTGAATTGGTGTGTGCTTTGCTGTGTACATTCTCAATAGCAACAACAACAGAATAAACAAACCGTATGGGGCAGTTCTTTTGTTTCATGGGGTTGCTATGAGTTGGAATCAATGGCACCCAGTAACCCAACATTCTTTTCTCTTAATTTATATAGTGACTGAAAAGACTTTGTTTAGAAAATGTTTTGTGTATATCTTTCTACCACTAAATATGAGTGCAGAGGTGTCTTGAATATTTTTTTAACACCAATATCTAGTACCTAAAAGATGTCCAATAAAGGATTATTAAATGCAGAAAAAAAGAGAGAAAACCTTATGGAGGACAGTTCTATTGACACTTATGGGGTTGCCAAGAGTTGGAGTCCACTCGATGGCAGCTGGTGGTAGTTGTGGTAAAGTGTCTAGAGCACAGTGGAGGTTGTTGAGATGATTGGTAGGCAATGCAAGAGGAGTAGGAAGAGGCTGGATTATGTAGAGCCTCACAAGTGATAATAAGGAGTTTAGACATAGAAAGCTGTAGGAAGGATTTTAGCAGGGAAATGACATGATCTAATTTATGATTTGAAGGAATTGTTCTACAGTGTAGAGAGTGGTGATGGAAGGCAAGAATGGAAGCAGAGACCAGTTCAAAGGTAATAAAGTAATCTGGTTCAAAGATGATGTTAGCTAGGGCCATAGGGATATGTTTTTGGAGGTAGAGGTGACAAGGTTTGGCAGTAGACTAGATGTGAGGTGCTTAAAAACAAAATGAAACATTTTATAGTTATTTTGGAATTCCAAAGAAATGATTTTTACTTCATTCATAAGAATTCATTACATGTAATTTTATTAATCCCTTGGGGACTTTTTTTGAATAAATATATGTGGACTGCTTTTATGTGTCATATCTAAGTGTTGTCACATCTGGTGGTGTTAGTGACCATTGTGTCGATTCTGGCTCATGGTGACCCCATGTGTTACAGAGTAGAACTGCTTATCTTAATGGAAGCAGGTCACCAGGCTTTTGCTTCCACAGTACCACTGGGTGAGTTTGAACTGCCAACCTTTAGGTTCACAGTCGAGTGCAGGAATATATTGGTAAACAAGACAAGCATCCTTGTCGATACAGAACTTACTGTAGCAGGGAAGCATATTAAAATTAGACGAATTAATTTGCTAGAATTGTGTAAGTGCTATAAAGGAGAATAGGGAAGACTTCCCTGAGCAAGTAAGCTGACACTGGAAGCTTGAGTATGGTTTAGCCAGAAAAATGGAAAGGCATTCCAGATTTAGTTTACAGCTCTGCAGACAAAGTCCTTAGGGAAGAAATTAAGTGGACAGAAGCAGCACAGCCAGTGTGGCTGGTGAGTGGTTAATGGTAATAAGAGTGCACTGGTTTACCATCCACCACTGCATATTGTGAGGATGAACCAGTGGCCCTCCACCAGGGCAATCTACCCTGAGGGGACTTCACAATCTTGAGACATTTTTAGTTGTCACAACTGGCTACTGGTGTCTGGTAGGTAGAGGCCAGGGATGCTGCTGAATACCCTAAAACGTACAAGACAATCTCCCACAAAGAATTATCTGGCCAAGACTGAGAAACTTTGGTACAAACAAAGTTATAACTATAATATGCCACTCTAAGTTATCGGCAATTGAAGGATAGATTTATGGATTATGTTCATGAAATCCTAGTAAATAGCAGGTGTTTAATGATTATTTGTTCTCATCTTACTCATACCCGTGGAGATTTGGAGCCTTTTGAGACATGACTAATTAATAAGTTGGCATTGACAACTGACTTTACTTAAATTCACGCCTGTTTGTAAGCTGATAGTGCATATTATCAGTTGCTTTATATGGCTTCTTTTCATAGTCTGTATGTGAGAGGTCAAAACTGGTCCCACCTCGATTGAATTTGACCTGCAGACATATTTTGTTTGGTATGCAAAGTGTTTTATAAAAATTGACTATACCAGTGTGTTTTAAATGGGAGATTTTACACAAAAATCCAGATTTCTGGCTTCACTGGGAAAAATAAGGCCTGGTGATGCTGGATCTGAATTCTCAAATGGCAAAGAAAAAAAGATGCTATTAGTTGTACTGTCTTTACCCTGAGCCTGTTCTCTCATTTTGACAATCCCCACTTCTCTTTTTGTCTTAAATCTAGCCTACTTCACTCATTTTTAGTGCTTGTGCCCTGCATTCACCATTCCTTCCCTCATGAACAAGGGTGATTCAGAGTTCTTTGTGTAACATAATGAAATCTTGATAAAGCTCCTTTTGTTGCAAGGTGGAGTTGAGTTCAAGATAAGGCTGCTTTAGACTTATTCCTAAATTTTATCAGAAAGATCCCCCCTCTTAAAACAGCTCTGTGAATGATTTTCCTAGAGTTGAGTTTTAGTGTACATATCAGAGTCAGTACATTGATCAGAGAAAATAAAAATATAAATTCATTGAGGAGAAGCAGATTTAACACTTGATGTACTCCTTCCCTAGTAGGACTTGGATGTAGAGACTAAGCAAACAACTGTAACAGAATTATAAAAAACGAGAGTTTGGTATAAAGAAGATTGAGCTTATTGGGAGATAATGTTGTAAGGGAACCTTTTAGATTTATCGGTATTATATCTTAAATAACTGTATATATGAGTTCAATTAGAGTATGTGTAAACATGCCAAAACATTGTTATTTCTAGTGAAAACATAGACTTTAAGACAATCAAAGAGGAAGATGGTGTTCCACTTGAAGACCTTCTAAATAAGGGTGAAGATGAGATAGAAGAGGAGGAGGAGGAGGATTATGATGACGATGATGATTGGGACTGGGACGATGGAGTTGGGAAACTCACAAAGGGTTATGCATCCAATAGAGGGAATAACCCACAGGTATTTTATAAATGGTCCTATACATCTTTAGGTTGTCTGTTATGTCTTTTTTTTCTTTAAAGATTTTCATTGAGGACTTCTCATTGATGTGGTTCTGGAGTGAGTAACTGAAAGATTTTCCGCAGATTTTATTGTCCTGTAGCTCCAGCCTTTATTGCTTTTTATTCTTTGTCCTTTCTGTATTTCTGATAATTTCCTGAGTGTGGACTCTTTCCATATCAATTAATTAAAAAGGTTATTTAAGGTGTAATAAAATTAAGAGCTTAAAAATGTATAGGAAAAGACACAGGCAGTTTACTACAAATGGTTGAGAAGCATGAGAAAAGGTTCAAGCTCATTAGTTATTAAAGAAATGCAGATTGAATGTGTAGAGATAACCTTTTTTTTCCTATCTATGAAACTGACAACAACACAAAATAATATAATTGATCAAGTAAATAAGTACAATGTGATAAAAGGTTGTAAACCCCTTGACTCAGCAATTCTTGTCAGAGTGTGTTACGACTTAATTACAAGAATGGTCATCCAGTATTGTTCATGGTGGAGGAACATTGGAAACAACTCAATGTCCCAACAGTGGCAAATTGGTTAAATCTACTATGAGACTGATCACACAGTGGGATATTACAGTCATAAAACATGTTGCAGTTGAAGACTTAATGACACAGACATATATTCATGATCTGTCATCTACCATGCACAAAAAACCAGTAACCAAACCACATAGAGGCTAATCGTGTCAGAGGTTTGCACAGCCAGAGGAGTGTTATGGTACATCTTCCTGGAGCATAAAGATTAATGAAAGATACGGAGGAGAAAAATCACTGATATTCCCTTGATTTTAAAACAGCTTTGTCATGGACTAGAATGCATGAATTTTAAAAATAATTTCACACTAAATTGTGGTCTTGTTTTAGTAAGCCCTCCATTGATTTCTTGGGGAGAATGAGTAATTTCAACATGAAGTATAATCCCTTTTAAAAAAAAAAAAGCTAGAAAAAAGACTGGAAGTATGTATGTTTAAATGTTAACTAATTGTGTGCTGGGATTATAGGTGATTAAAATTTTTTTTGCCCGTGTTTTCTACCATGAACGTATATTAATTTTAGGAATATTTTACAAGTTACATTTAATACAAATTTTTTAAAAGTTTTGTACAAAAAAGAAAGAACTCAGCCTCAGAGTTCCATGTGGAGATAACAGGATTGAATCAGTAGTTGTTTTAGGTCCTTTTTACTTACGGGTTCTGATGTTGTCTCCACTTCTATTTTTGCCATTATTTTGTCTGTGCATAGCACTAGTCTAAGTGCTGAAGCCTTGATCTTACTCTTTCCCTTTCACATACTAGGTCCAAAGTAAAATTCTTAGAACCAGTTTAATGTTGGTCTTAACTCTTTATTATACACTTGGAGGAGGGGTGTAAATGAGCATTCTTTGTTTTAAATCTATAAACCAGTCAAATTAGAAAAACATTTAATTTTAACTTGTTATTTATAATAATGAGGAACACACTGTAGATAAGTACAAATCCTCTTATGCCCGCTCTGTGTTCTAGCCAGTAACTTCAAACTACTCCTATTTCAAATGCCTTTTTTAAAAAAATCTTAAGCAAATTTGATTGACTCTTAAACCTTTCCTAGGGTACTCCTAAATATTGATGCTTTAATAGCTAAATATAAACGAAGGGGAAAAAAATGCGATGATAAACCTTAGGTTTTTATTTACAGCTGCTGCTTTGGCCTCTGTAACTCTGTAATTTCTTTAGGCAAATCGACAGACTTCTAACTACAGTTCTGCCAAAATGTCTACTCCAGCAGACAAGGTCTTACGGAAATTTGAGAATAAAATTAATCTAGGTGAGTTTATAAAATACATTACCTTCCGGGGCTGTGAAAATTCTTAAAAAACCATGAAGTATTAAAAAATTTCATTATATTTAGAAATGAATATATTCAAATGTTGCTGACTGAATAATCATACTTAGAGAAAATAAACTTTTAGTGATTTAGAAAAGTGACTTCAAGGAAGGAAAGACTTTATGCTTTTATAGTTCTGTTTTCTCACCTGTTGTAGGAGTATGAAGTAACAGATACCCATTCAAGTTATTGTCTATTTTGTATTAAATTTTGTAGTAGTATGTTGAAAATAGTAGAATATAGCTATATTTTGTTTTACGAGAGATTTTTATGTAGGCGTGAGCTGTTAACATGGAGAATCAGAATGTTGATTTGAACCCCTATTCTTTGAAAAATCCAAGGTCATCTTTCTCTTCTTGTATATCTAGACTCCTTGTAAACCTAGCACAGTGACTTACACGCGTTATCAACAAATGATGAGTTCATGAGTACAAGTATTTTAGGTTCTTCATTGCCTATCAGAAACCTATAATTTGAAATGACACTGATGTTTTTAGAATTAAATTTGGAATTCAGGCAGTCATTATCTATATTGGTTGTACAAAATTTTAACAAGTGTCTGAAATTTAATGTATGCAGATATACTATTTTTCAGGGATTTGTTCTAGATTTCTATGGCTCAAAAATTACAAATGTAGTGATGAAAGTAACACAGGCAACACTTATTAAGAAAATACACGTTTGTGCCTTCAAAATGTTAAAAAAATTATTAATAAAATAAATCTGGTTTATAATTTAAAAAATACAGAAAAGAAGGAAGAGGGGTGAAGGATCCTGTTATTCAGAGAGTCTGTTAATGTCTTTTTGTGTTACATATTGCTTATACTTTTCTTTTTTTTTTTAGATAAGCTAAATGTTACTGATTCTGTCATAAATAAAGTCACTGAAAAGTCTAGACAAAAGGAAGCAGATATGTAAGTAATATTTTAACTATAAAACATGGCCCACAGGTAGCTATTCTAGGCAAATCAAGTAGCATCTTGATCATAATTCTTTTGCAAGGGATGTTCATTTGTATTCTTAAATCAATTCTTTTTTGTTTTTTAGCTTAAGTACCTCTGCCCTTGTAAGTTGAAAATATTAAATGAATCTTCTTAAGAAATACACAGTAAGATTGTAATCTTAGGAAATTCAAGAATGTGCTTTCATGAGGATAATAGTGTGTGGATTTCATTTTTAAACTAAAATGTTACAGTGTAAAGCTCCTTTTTTGAATTTGTTAAAAATTGTCCCCTTCCACAAAGTAGTTTTAAAAACTCAAGGGAAGACTAAAACTAAATGATAATATAACTTAGAAGTGTTTCCATTTATACTTCTGTTCTCTAAGACATTAACAGTATATTACAGAAAATTAAGATCATGTAACTAGCAGCGTTAGAACTGAAGTTAAAAGCTAATTTTCTTCTGATTTATTGCTATGTCCAAGAGATACCAGCTTTTAAAGAAACGCCATAGTAATTTGTTATTTCACTGAAGCTTCTGTTTGAATTGATTGTACTGTGTTACAATCTATTTATTACCAAGATTGTTAACCTAGTGAGTGAGCTGAAGCTAATCAGAGTCTGCATTTTGATGCCAGACTCAGAAACAATCATGAAATGATTACAAAACTTTCTGTAGAAAGTGACTAAAGAAAAAGCCTTATGGATGACTGTAATTCCACGCGGATAGAAGATGGATCATTAGTGATCTGACGGACAGTACAGATGGACTCCAGCATAGTTCACTTCACCCCAGCAGCTCTTTTACTTATTGTTTCTGGAATATCTCATGTTTGCTGGACAGAAATTTCTTTTCCTACTGCAAATATGCTCCTTTTTGCCCCAGGGAGTTGAATTGTTTATTAAGGGGAAATGAGTCATGAAATCTGTTATCAGACTACCTGCTTAGGGATTTGGGGGATGATTTACATTTAGAAGCTTTCTATTTTGACTTCTCTCACTGACTACTGAACATGTGAACTGTACTTCTTTGTTTTTTGGTTAGGTATCGCATCAAAGATAAGGCAGACAGAGCAACTGTAGAACAGGTACAACTGAAATGTGTTGCAAGCTCTTATTTTAAATCAGCATTTGGTTTTCTCTTTAAATAGTTTGCTTTCATCCTTCTTGTTTAGTATATGTTAGCTGAAATTACTCCTATATAAAATTGCTCCTGTTTATAGTTTTGAGTTCATAGTTCTGCATTTTGCTTTAATATGACTATCAGTAGGTAAATTAGAGTGATCCTGTGAAAACACCATGCAGTGCTTTCTCTTTCTCAGGGGAAGCAAAAAAGTTATCTGCCTAGGAATCTTATCTCTAAGTAAGGTCTGCAGGAATTTTGTGAGCTTTCCCAGAAGATAGTGTGTCTGCCACAAATGGGGAGGCAGGGACGCGCAAAGGGTCATGAGGAGAGGTAAAGCCCTTCAAATTTCCAATTAGAAATCTTTTTCTTTGTTTACAAATTATGCTTGTTTTATTTCTGTTCAAGAATGAGGGGCAATTGGCCCCTGATTATCCCACAGAAAATCCCAGGTGGAGTAAACTTTATGAATCAGTTCTACTCTACGTGCATGGGGTCACCATGAGTCAGAATCGACTCGATGGCAACTAATAACAGTTGGCCCACGTGTCAAGGATTGTGATTGGACGTTAGCATTGGCTCAGATTTTTTTTTAGACCTTTTAAAAAATGTTTATTTTTCATTGAAAAAGGCATTGAGAATACTCACATATATATATATTTTATGTAAATTAATTTTTTAAAAAATTATTGTAGTTTAAATGAAGGTTTATAGAACACGCTAGCTTCTCATTAAACAGTACACATATTGTTTTGTGACATTGGTTAGCAACCCCACGATACGTCAAGACTCCCCATTCTCGACTTTGGGTTCCCTATTACCAGTTTTCCTGTCCCCTCCTGCCTTCTAGTCCTTGCCCATCGGCTGATATGCCCATTTAGTCTCGTTTTGTTTTATGGGCCTTGGCCCAGATTTTTAATGTGAAGAAAATGATAAAAAGGGTCAGAACATTGGTATTGCTGCCTCTCTCCCTCTCCCCCACTCATACACATGTGGACAACCATGCATTTTGGAATAGTAACCTCTTCAACCTGTAGATCCTTGGTTTAAGGCACAAGCACCCCTTCTGTCACAATCCCCAAAACAGTAGCATCTAGCCAGAACCCCCAGAGCCATTTGAGCAATTGAATCATTCCACCTATAGTCAGGAGCAGAGTGGGGCCTGTGTCTTCATTGACCTCTAATTTATTTATTTTGTGGGATTTCTTTTTATGACTAAAAATGAGTATAGTCTCGCTCAGAGATAAGGCAGCCTTAATTTTTTAAAGATCTTAAAATAGGCAGGAAATCCTTTTTCTCTTCTAAATTTTAATTTCGAATGATGAAGTGCATATGCTGAGTTTTAAGCTGTCTTTTAAAAATAAATACTTTTCTATAAGTTTACCTATTGTATTTCCCTCTTTCCCGCTTTTATTTTAAGCCACTTAGGTACATCGTTCCTTCCTATGCTGCTAAAATACATAACTACCAGTTTTTGCAGGAGTGCAGTCTCTACCCAGATCCCTGTACCCAACTAGCTTACTTCCCCTCTTCACCTGTCCCATAGAGAAGGGATGGTGATGATTTCTATTTAGTCACCACCTTTTTATTCCTTTCTAGTTGCAATGGTTGTAGTTTGGTTTTTAGTCGACACTCTTCCAAGGTTGTTGGGTTATATTAATTTTAGGTTTCTGACATGATCACAGCCACCTCCTTGAAGGATAGACCATAAAGTATAGTTCGTTTTGGCCAGTTCACACTCTCCTCTGTCCGTGGGCTGAGCCACATAGAGCTACTGCTGGTGTCTGTTACAGTTGCAGGCAAAATAAGTAGCTGCCTCTGGGTCAGGAATGGACAACATCAGGCTTTAAATGTGTTGCCTTCTGTTTCTTACAAAGGATCCTTTTTACTACAGATTGACTACTCTGGCTTTGAAGACCCTTACTAAGACTTAATCATCTATAGCAAGGGTCAGCAACCTTTTTCTATAAAGGCCAAACAGCCAATATTTTATGCTCTGCGGGCCACATATAGTCTCCATTGCACGTTCTTCTTTTTCTCTTTTACAACCTTTTAAAAATGTAAAAGCCATTTTTTGCTTGCAGGCTGTACAAAAACAGGCTGTAGCCTGGATTTGGCCCGCAGGCTGTAGTGTGCTGACCCCAGGTTCAGAGCTGCCTGTCCAGTGTGGCAGCCACCGGCTGCATGTGGCTATTGAGCACTTGGAGTGTGACAAGTTCGAATTGAGACGTGCTATAAGTGTAAAATACATACTGGACTTTATAGAGTTACTGTGAAAAGCAGAATGTAAAGTATCTTGTTAATAACTTTTTACACTGATTATACATTGAAGTGATAATTTTTTAGATACATTGGTTTAAGTAAAATATATTAAAATTAATTTTACCTATTTCTTCTTACTTTTTTTCATATGGTGACTAGAAAATTTAAAATTACTTATGTGGCTTGCATTATATTTTTGTTAGCTAAAATTGGCCTAGAGTTGATTTCTGCCTCCCTTGGACTTGGTAGCCTTTGGTTTCCATGACTGAATGAGCTTACTGGGTGGTTGTCTCTTTGGTTCCTTTGACCTCCACCTACATTTTATTGGCTGAAAGTCAGATAGCACCATCAGAGTGACTTGGTGAGCCAAGCAGGATGTGTAGTGCAGCTGAGCTCACAGTTCACTGATTGTCAAATGCTTTAATGAGAAATAATTTGGTCCCATCTTTCTGACCCTTTCATTGTACGCATTTCTTTTCTAGGTGCTGGATCCCAGAACGCGGATGATTTTATTCAAGATGTTGACTAGAGGCATCATATCAGAGATCAATGGCTGTATCAGCACAGGAAAAGAAGTGAGTTTTTCTTTGGATGACTGAATGTTTCCACGTTAGTTTTCTCAATTCAGATACCAAATGGAACTAAGGCACTTAGTGAATGAGTTGTGCCTTTAAGGAAAAAAGGGGGCAGAAACTCTAATCGAGTCCCAGTGGTTTAAGACAGTGTTTCTGCAAATAGTTTTATCAATGCTTATGGCTAGGTAGAAAGTTTTGCACCATTACTATATTGGATCATTGAGCCTAACTAGTTGTGCCCAACACTTAGTTTAGATGAGCATGTTAATGTAAGCCCGAGTCCTAATCAGAAAGTTACTAATGGAAGCAGGGGGCTTATTGTCTTATATCTAAGAGTGTCTTTACCGTTTTTTTCCTTATGTGCAGATATGGTGAAAGACAGACGTGGTTTTTAATTAGCAGCTAACCCTATGAGACGCAATTCTCAGTGAAATTCAATTTATAAATCACTAGATGTAAGGAGCCCTGGTGGTGCAGTGGTTAAAGCAATCAACTGCTAATCAAAAGGTCAATGGTTCGAAACCATCAGCGGCTCCTTGGGAGGAAGATGTGACATTCTGCTTTTGTAGAGATTTACAGCCTTCGGAACCCTATGGGATTGCTATGAGTCTGAATGGACTTGACGGCGGTGGGTTTTTGTGGGTAAATGTAAGAGTGTCTTCAAATATTCTCTGTGTATTTCAGATATAAAAAAGGGATGCAACCGCTTCTCACATATAAATTTAAATTGGATTTTATTGTATATGTAAATTGGTGATATCTTTGTTACACCTTTTGGTATGGTGTTTCATATTTTAATTCTTATCTTTAAAAGATAATGGCATTCCTTATTATGTTCTTTCGTTCGCTATTAAGCTAGTACCTAGGAACAGGGAAAGCACTTTTTTTCTTTTAAGGAAAAGTTTGGCAGAGGAGGAAGGTGATAATTTTAAAGATTTAGAGCAGATTAAGATAGTAGAACTTGGATTAGAATTCCTGAATCTCTGGAGATCCAGGCACTTGAGCCTTCTCCCACTAATGCAATTCAAGGAGAGGCCACTGAGTGCCTTCTCTGTGCCAGCCCTGGGAGACATTGGGAAGGAAATAGAAATGAAGAGCTCCCTTCTCTTTAAGGAGTTTGTAATCTTACGATAAGTTAAATAATTGCAGAAAACAGAACAGCCAGATGAGACCTGTTGCTTTGTCAGGTAAGAGGTCAGATTTTAATGATACTGATTTACGATACGCCTATTAACACTTTATTATGTTTTTATAGAGTTAGTATAGGGTAATGGTTCCTTTGGGATTTAGGGGCCAGGCAGCTCTGGGTTTGAATTCTACCTTTACTGTTTCCTAGCAGTGTGATTTTGGGTATGCCATTTAACTCATTCACTCTACCTCAGTTTCCATTTCTGTAAAATGGGGACATTGATGGTTCCTATGCATTGAGTTCTTACGAGATTTAAGTAACTGTGAAGTTTTTAGCATCGTATACGACACAGTATATGGTCAGAAACAGTCAGCTGCCATTTTATTATTAGCCCTAGGATCTTGGCACTGGCTTTTGTGGTTAGAATTAAATGGATTAAAAAGTTAAATACTGTTTGTAGTTATTTAACACAAACTTAATTTTCTTTATTTTTGATTTGAAATAGGCTAATGTATACCATGCTAGCACAACTAATGGAGAGAACAGAGCAATCAAAATTTATAAAACTTCTATTTTGGTGTTCAAAGATCGGGATAAGTATGTAAGTGGGGAATTCAGGTGAGCTCAGATTTTTTTCCAGTTGGTTTAATTTCTATTGCCTAAACAATTAAAATAGAATAATGGAATGGTTGAAATAACAAATATTTTTCTTGTCCAAGATTTCGTCATGGCTATTGTAAAGGAAATCCCAGAAAAATGGTGAAAACTTGGGCAGAAAAAGAAATGAGAAACTTAATCAGGTGACTGTCCGGGGCATGTGTGTGTCTGTGCTGTACCTGTACTTTGATGTCAACCGTTTCCTACCTAGAGACCCCAGTGTGGTTCTGCCCAAGTGCAGAACTCAGTAGGGCCAGTCAGTTCCACGGGTCTGCTGCAGTTAGCAGGAGAAGCACATTTCTGGACACATAGGACCTACCTTGTCTTCTCCATTCTCAGAAGCCATTCCTGAAGAATTCTGCCATGGCTCACATTTATTCAGTAAGGCAAACTCATTTAAAGAGTCCTGTAAGTCGTGTTACAATGTTTGGAGTTTTTACTGACTAATAAGGAACTCTGTTACAGGATTTTAAGCAGGGAAGTAACATAGCTGGTGATGATGATGTGTCACTGTTTAATTGTTATTGGAGTTCTAGACAAATTTTGTTAGATCCTAAACTTTTGTTTGTCATAGTTTGCTTTTCTGATTTCAGCCCGGTTTTGGACACGTTTATATCCACTGACACCGTTGTATTGGATAAAAACCTCTTAACCTAGCTGAGATCAAGTTTCCTCAATTTTTTGAAGTTTTTTTTTCTTTGAAAATGTCTTTTAACTTTTTAAATGTTGTACACATGTGATATACATTGAATTTTTAGTATTGATCTACTGATGAAATGCTACTTATTTTGAAAGTATTTCTGGAATCTTTTTGTGTGCAATTAGCTATTAGTTTTGAGTCCAACTACTTTTATTGAGTATTTTTTAGGCTGATCAACTCATAACATAACTGCAGACATATCTGCTATATTTCATTGATTCTGAGATGCACATTTTATCACAGTTTAATATCTTTGGAATTGGATTGGGTGTTATAGGCTATGGGATGAAATAGTTTAATCGCCCACCTTTTGTCGTTTTTGGTGGTACGTAATGGTGCTCCTTAAAATCACTGATGACTTAACGAAATACAGTAATGCAGTTGAGAGGCCTTGGTACCATTTCCTAACAGCAATGTCAACGGTAGCTGTTGTAATTTGTTTTAGATGCTGTTTCAACTTCTTAGTTACCCTTTTATCTGTTACAATATGACAGGCTAAACACAGCAGAGGTACCATGTCCAGAACCTATAATGCTAAGAAGTCATGTTCTTATCATGGGTTTCATTGGAAAAGATGACATGTAAGTATGTGGAGGACTTAAGAATTCTATGTTTGGAACTGAATTATCCAATATATTAGTACTTCCCACTCAAATAGCTCCTTTCATCTTGGAATTTATTTATTTTTATTTTTTTTAGTGAATTTTCCCCACTTCTTAGTGCATAAGTGTTATCAGTTTAGTCTACCATTTTTAGTCTCAGAGTACTTGAGAATAACAAAGATAACATTTTTTGAGGAATGGGTTATACAGTAAACTGGGAAAGCACCTGTTTTCGACAGCCTTTTACAATGGCATATCTGTAGTGAGACATTGTACTACGCACAGTTCACATGATGAGTTGTAGACATGCATGTAACAATCTAATACAGAGCAAGGAAACTTGTTCTGGATCACTTTATCTTAGTTGTTCATTTTATTTCTATTCAAGGCCTGCACCACTCTTGAAAAATGTCCAGTTATCAGAATCCAAGGCTCGGGAGTTGTACCTGCAGGTTATTCAATACATGAGAAGAATGTATCAGGATGCCCGACTTGTCCATGCGGATCTCAGTGAGTTTAACATGCTGTAAGTGTGTACTGTCCCTTGGGAACCTCCAGTAGTTGTTTTGTGTTCTTTAAAAATATAAACAAAATCCCAGTCCAAAAAGTCATACTAATTCTCAAGTTTTGGCGTTGGCTTCCACACAGTAATAGTATAAGACGTGGTCTCTGCCTTCAGTGACCTGATTGACCACTTTGGTCATTAACAGAGTTAATGGACTTGGAAACTTTCTCAATCTCCAAGTCTTGTTAGTCAAGGTAGCCTCTTCTCATTATCACTTTGGCCATTTTATAAATTATTTCCCTTGTCTGTAAGAATAAAAAAATTTTTTAACACAAAAAGTAGGAAAGTAGTATTATCATTTCCGTGTAGTCCCCTCATCTCTGATCCACAAGGTACCACAATGGAGGGGTGTACATCATTGATGTTTCTCAGTCCGTGGAGCACGACCACCCACATGCCTTGGAATTCTTGAGAAAAGACTGTGCCAATGTCAATGGTGAGTGGAAAGTGGAATTTTCTAACTGCTTGCTTGTGTGTGTTCTATTCTCAGCTAAGCGTTTGGTGTCAGACCTTAGCACTAGGTCATTAGGTGCAGCGATACTTCAACCGTTTGCTAGGAGGTGGTATATTTTTATTTCTTTATTTCGCTTAAAGTAGTTGGAATAAATAACCTTTTCCCTCATAAAGCTATCATTAAGATATTTCTTTCCGACAGATTTTTTTTTGAAGCACAATGTTGCTGTGATGACCGTGCGGGAGCTCTTTGAATTTGTCACAGATCCATCAATTACACGTGAGAACATGGACGCTTACCTCTCAAAGGTTAGTTGGGAAAGGCTAGCAAGGGAAAAAACAGAAAATAGCAGTAGTAATTTCCATTTATGTAGCACTTCTGAGGAACTCAAATAACTAGGCATAAATTTTATTCATTTTAACAGCTTCTTAAGACCCTTTCCTTCTGATTTCACAGGCGGAGAATCAAAACTAATAGTAAACAGCCTGTGGTAAAGCCAGGTGTCTTGACTTTAATCATCTGTCAAGGTTACATAGACTGTTCAAGTTTGTAACTGTTTATTAAGAAACCTGCTGGCTTTTTGGTCATGAATTCCTTTCCTTTGTTTCTCAAAGATGTGTCTGAAGCAGAATTGTGACCACATGATATCTTTGCCCCTAGACAGGTTTTCTGGTTTTTTCATACCTTTCATATTTTTCCTTTCCCTGGAATGCCTTCCCATTTCCACCTTGGTTCAGTTTTTCTCTGCCTGGTGAACTTTATAGCTCAGTTCAGAAAGCTTTCTTGAGGGGAAATAGACAGAAATCATTGTTTCCACAGGTATATTTTCATATTACATAATAATAAAAAAAAATAGTGGGCCCTGGTGGCACAGTGGTTAAAGCGCTTGGCTGCTAACCGAAAGGTTGGTGGTTGGAATCCACCAGCAGCTCCACAGAAGATGTGGCAGTCTGCTTGTATAAAGATTTACAGCCTTAGAAACCCTATGATGCAGTTCTCCTCTATCCTGTAGGGTTGCTATGAGTCCTCATCAACTTGATGACAGTGGGCTTGATTTTTTTTTTTTATATTTTAAATTGTCTTTTTTTATTTTTTCCCATACAAAAATTTATACATACATTGTTATGTGACTGTAATTGCTCTCCCCATACTGTGAGAGCACACTCCTACTTTCCACCCCTGATTCCCCATGTCCATTCAGCCAGCTGCTAACCTTCTCTGCCTTCCCATCTCACCTCCAGACAGATGCTGCCCTTTAGTCTCTTGTATCTACTTGAGCTAAGAGGCACACTCCTCACGAGTATCACTTTATGTCCCAGAATCCAGTCCAATCCCTGTCTGAAGAGTTGGCTTCGGAAATTGTTTTAGTTCTGGGCTGACAGAAAATCCAGAGGCTTTGCCTTCTGGGGTTCCTCCAGTCTCAGTCAGACCATTATGCCTGGTCTTCTTACTAGAATTTGAGTTCTGCACCCCACCTTTCTCCTGCTCCATCAGGGACTCTGTGTTGTGTTCTCTGTCAGGGTGGTCATTGGTGGTAGCCAGGCACCATCTAGTTCTTCTGGTCTCAGGCTGATGAAGTCTCTGGTTTATGTGGCCCTTTCTGT